AAAATAAAAATATTAAAGGAAGTTAAATCTTTTGTATATAATTCCTTGCTACCTGTACAAAGAATGAAAATAACAAGCATATTTAATTTCAGCCATTACAGATGAAAGATGAAAATCAAACAAATTCAGCCATAGTGTTAATTTTAAAGAAAGGAATTATTAGCAAGATCCCAGAGCCTCTGGCACACACAATCTCAATTTTACTAGGAATGGTTGGAGGTGAGGGTGAAATGACTGCCAACAGATTTTTTTTGATCCCCACAGTGTGAACAAGAATTTGTGTGAGAAAAAGAAATGTTAGAAGCAAATGATATGCTCTCAGATCAATAACTTTCAAAATATTTGAAAAATCTGCCCCCTTCTCCAACACTGAAAGAAATTCTTTAAAGCAAAAGCCGCTTTTCTCAGTCAATAATAATAAATAAAAATGGTTAAAACTGAATAAAAGCATTCCAGTCACCAAATTCAGTTTTAAAGAGAAGACAAAACATACAAAAATAAAAGTTTTCAATTGAAAAAGAGGGAAATAAAAGTTATTTTACATTAGAAAGATAAAAAGAATGGTAAAAATGATGAAAATTAAATCAAAAGTGGGAACATTTTGAACAAGGACATTTGGCAGCAAAGGTTATTTTTATACATACGTAAATAATGCATATAAAATGAGTTTTATGAGAAAATTTCCTGTCATTCACAAGCCCATAAATTGGCAAAGTTGAATTTTCTTGATAATTTTTTTTTTTAAAATGTAAATAAATCAAAAATCAATTTTTTTTCTTGTTATATATTTTATAGAAAAACATTTTTAAAATCTTAAAAATTTGCTGAAGACTTTTAGCAAATGCGTTTATGTTGAAAGTTTGCAAAGGGCAATGAGGACATAATAGAAATTAGTACAGATTTAATTTGTTTTTATGTTTCTAAAGAAATAAAGCGCCTGTCTATATTTCTGAGATGAGGTATTATGTACACTATTGACATTTGGACTATTGTCCTCATCTTTGTCGCCATATTTATTACGTTTCAGCCATTATACGCTCCAGCCTTTTCAGGTGGTTGGAATGTCAAACTGAACCCTTTATTTCACTCACTGGGGTAGACTGTTCTAGTTCCACGTGCCATGTTTAATGGATGTCAGTTGTCAGTTATCTGTTAATTTCCCTCTCCAAGTTCTCCACCGCCTTAACTGGGTATTGAACTCACACTCTTTGGGTCCTATCACTGAATCTAACTAATGCCTTTATCCACTGTGCCATGTGTCCTTGAAGAAGGACAGAGTGTACAATGGCCGAAACGTTGTAATAAATATGGCGACAAAGATGAAGACAATAGTCCAAATAATGTAAATAGTGAAATAAAGCACATCTGCAGCCTTGTGGGTGATGAATTACTTTCCACCTTACAACCCCTTTCCCCACAAATGAAACAACGTAAACCTCTTGCTATTTCTATGAAATATGTCCAGACAAACTAGATTCCTTAGTTCCTCCAGTTTTAACCATCACAGCTAAGACTCATCATTGTAGTGAACCACCGTCATTTGCTTCATATTCCATTAGTGAGATGTATGTTCCATTGAAGCAGCTTCTTCCCATGAATTGCAGCTTTGTAGAAACGAGTATAAGGTTAGCCATTATATCTTACCTACATAAACTGTGCCTCTTGCTCTACAAAATTCTCTTGGGCCTTGTACAGAGTGAATATCATTATAAAAAAAAAAGAAAAACAAGATAGCAGTCAATCCTTTTAGAAAGGGCAAACCATTCCACCCATGATTCAGTCTTGCATTTTCATTTTTGCAGTTTAAGTTTTTAAGAATGTAAACAAGATCATTGAAAAGCCATCATCCATAGTTGAGATCACAAGGTCAGGAATGGCTGAACATTAGAAGGAAAGGAGAAGATGTTGGCTTGTTTTGAAAGGAAGTCAAAACTGCAGGGTACCACAGTGGATAGGGCATGGTTGTGTGGGTAATTGTATAGAAACGGTATAAACAAAACAGATTCAATGCTGTGTGTGTGTGTGTGTGTGTCCATTGGAGAGAAATAGAAAGACAAATCCCAACACCGCCATTATTACTGACTATGGATAATAAAGTATTATCTATATTTGGGGCAGAAAGAGTTGTTACTCAATATAGAACAATGAATTGAGTGCCTCTGTCTGCAAGAATCTCTGATTCTCTCATATATATATATATATATATATATATATATATATTTTAAGACATTTTTATGTTTATACATTTTTTTTTTTATAGATACAAATATTTAAGTAAATGCTCCGTTTATAATAAACAGTATTAACAACATTTACTGGCCTGAATGTCCAAGAAATTGTCATAGAAAATATACGTCCTCCAACAGGAATCAAATCTGTATCCTATATGGAACCATCACATAGCCTTATGTGCTTTTACCGATTTCGCCAATGAGGAGCATTTCGGTTAGCAAGGTCGATTTTGATTATGTATAAACATAAAAATGTCTTAAAATAATTCTTGGACTTTGTCCATTTCATAATGTGTGACATCATTTGTTTACATTTGGATACACATCGAACAGATAAGAATGTACGTGAGAAAGTCATGGCAAATTGTAGTTCAAAAACAGTAAAATCGACATAAGAGACATTGATGTCAGAATAAAAATTGATATTTAAAAGTTAAGTAATTTTTTCCTTTCTATGTTCCTTTTTGAATATATTCTCTACTTGTCTTATCTGGAGAGAAGTGATTAATACATCGGCATATTCTCCACAACTGTTTCCCTTCCTTTCCTTACTCTCCCACCTCTACATCTCTCTCTCTAGACATAGATCTCCCTCTCTTTATAACCCTTTCGCTATCTTTCCCTTTCCCATATTAAACTTTATTTTAAAACCCATCTTATGTTTGTTCCTTATTTTTTTTTTTTTTCACTTGTGCCTGGATAAATTTAAAATTCATTTATTGCTGTAAAATTGTTTGGTCTGATGAGACAAGATTGATCATTTGATCTCACAAAATAAACTATTACCATGAATTTCTAAAGTCTCTGCTTTCATCATTGTGTGTGTATATATATATATATATATATATATATATATATATATATATATATAGAAACATCAAGGTGTTTCTATATATAGATATATATAAACTGCTTCAGATAGATTTTGCAAAACTAAATTATATTTCTATTTGTGAAGGTCTTCAACATTTTGATCTGTTAAGAGAGGAGGAGAGCTAACATTTTCCACTTGGAAGCATTTTGGTACAAGAACCCAGTAACAAAAAAAAAAAAAAAAAAAAAAAAAAAATTTCTTTGAAAAGCAGCACACAATGAAGCATTAAAAGAAGCAAGCAATTTGTACAAACATTGAAATCTAAAGAGAAGATGGAAATAATAAAACTGACTCGGTTTGTCTAATAAAATCTTTCGTCAAGTAAACAAGTGGTTTGCCTTGTAGACTTTCTTATTCCTCAAAAGTTTACTTCCTGTTCTGTCTCTGTAAACATTCACAGATCATTTCATCTGGCATAATCATAGGTCTGTTCAAATGGTAAAGCTTAGGAAAAGAAATAGAACTGCTTACATTATACACCATTAATCAAATGCCATTCTTGGCAGGCATACAAAATGGTGATTTAGGCTTTCCATGATGCTGATCTAAGTGATAACACAAATTATGAAATTCTTTAAATTACAAAGCAAATTCGATTTTGATTTTTTTTTTAAATCTTAAAATCACTTCCTCCCAAAGATTTTTCTTTATTTACAGAAAGCAAAGTCATTGAAATGATTTGGGCTTTTATTAAAACAGAAAAAAATAAATTTGATGTTGCATCCTGTGTAGTCACTGCATAGATGATACCAAAAAAAGATGTTTCTTTTTCTTGCTCATTTTATTAGAAGTGAAGAACAGACATGATAGAATAGATTCTAGGACAGTGTAGGTTGAAGAACTTTAAGGGTACACATGCTTCATGTTGGCTTAACATCCTTCTGTGTCTGGCCTTAGCCTGTCTCTCAAACCTGGGTGTGGAAAGCATATGAACACTTCAAAATTCCTATGGCCCTCTGTTGGCTTCATGCAGTTTTGGACTTATAGACAAAGGCAAGCCATCACTGTCAAAATAACACACCCATAAGGTATTCTGACCAATTGTTGACTGTCCCAGCCCAGCCTCCACATTTGGTAAGACTGAGGAAGACTTGAGATGGCACAAATTATGTAGACAGACTTTTAACCTGGAATGACTTTAAAGTACTATTTAAAAAATGTCACTTTAAAAGACAAAAGGAAAAAACAGTATATCGTTTGATTTATGAAAAATTTAAATTGTTTTATATAATTATCAGGAAATTTTGTTGTTATCCAAAATCACTATGTGATTGCTAGTGACGAAGGGTTCTATAAAGTTGCACGTGACCTAGAGTTTAGGGTCAAGATTGATATTTTTCAAAAGAAAACATTAACTTTCTCAAATGAAAGTTTTAAATTTCTTCTGTAAATTAAAGAAAGAAAAAGTTCAATTCAGGCAGCAATCCTTTTATGTGATTCAAATATTGATTTTGAAAATCAATCAAACATGCAAGATGAAGGGGGTGAATAGAGGACAATATTCCACCACAGGAATTCACTTCTGCATTTATGACATTTTTGCAACAAAGATCTTTAAAATTTGGAAAGAAATTTAATTTTAAAATGAAAGAAAAGAGAAAACAGCTCATATCTGCTAATCTAGAATGATTTGGTAATGAGGGAGACAAAGCAGAACTTGAGATACAACTAAATGGGAATTATGAATAAACATCAGACATTGTGGAATTTTTTTAAAAAAAGAGAAAATTAATGAATATTAAGTATCCTAAAATTCAAAAAGATAAAAAAAAAAAAACAACAACAACTAAAAACCAAGGAAAAGAGTGAACTTATGCTGACATGCATTCTTCTTGAAATTCCAACTTATCAAATTTAATTACACACCATCCGGCTGCAATAAAATGAAAGCCTAATCAAGTGTAAATAAACTGATTTAACAGAATAGAGAGAAGAGAGAGGAGAGGAGAAAGAGAGAGGAGAGGAGAAAGAGAGAGGAGAAAGAGAAAGAGAGAGGAGAAAGAGAAAGAGAGAAGAGAAAGAGAAAGAAAGAGAAAGAGAAAGAAAGAGAAAGAGAAAGAAAGAGAAAAGAAAGAAAGAGAAAGAGAAAGAAAGAGAAAAAGAGAAAGAAAGAAAGAAAGAGAAAGAGAAAGAAAGAGAGAGAAGGGAAAGAGAAAGAAAGAGGAAAGAAAGAGAAAGAAAGAGAGAGAAGGGAAGAGAGAGAGGAAAGGAGAGAGAGAGGAGAGAGAGGAGAGAGGAAAGAGAGAGAGGAGAGAGGAAAGAGAGAGAGAGAGGAAAGAGAGAGAGGAGAGAGGAAAGAGAGAGGAGAGAGGAAAAGAGAGAGAGAGAGAGAGGAAAGAGAGAGGAGAGAGGAAAGACAGAGAGAGACAGAGAGAAAGAGAGAGACAGAGACAAAGAGACAGAGACAGAGAGAAAGAGAGAGAGACAAAGAGAGAGAGAGAGACAAAAGAGAGAGAGAGACAAAAGAGAAAGAGACAAAAGAGAGAGAGAGAAAAAGAGAGAGAGAGACAAAAGAGAGAGAGAGACAAAAGAGAGAGAGAGAGACAAAAGAGAGTGAAAATTGTTTTCATATTAGAACTGATGACATGAAGGTTAAATTAAGTGTCATCAGAAGGCAAGTCCAACACAAATCAGTTGCTGAAGTGCCTTCAATGTTATTCATTATAAAGTGTTTAAAGGATTTTGTCCAAATTCTGATCTCGTGGTCCTGAAAACCATAAAGAAAAAAAAGAAAAAAAAAGCATGTTACCTTGCTAGTCACAGATCCATTGCTGATACTATTAGATGAAAGGAAAGTAGAATTGTGACACTATAATTGGAACACCCACATAGAAGGGGAAAGTGATTTTAACAAAATCTCAGCAGAGTCTTTGAAGTAAGTCTTCTAAGCTAAGAATTTACCAAAAAGAGATGAAAAAATAAGATTTTGGGGTTAAGTAATTAAAAAAAAAACGTGTTGATTTGTTAGCTGGTCTATATTAACAGTCATGTTTAAGATTGAGGAAAAGTTCTGGTCTGACACTGGCTGGTGACAGGCTATCCTTTCAGGTAGTTCCAGTGATAGCCATTCATATTGCCAGCCACATGTCATGTGTAGATAGGGAATGTTGCTAGGAGGAAAGAGCTGAGCTGTTAGATTCATTTGGCAGAGGTTGTCCAAAGAATCAACTAAAAACCAAGCCCTGAATAAAACCCCTATTTTGTACAGTATTTACATTAGTCGGACTATTGTCCTCATCTTTGTCGCCATATTTGTCACAACGTTTCGGCCGTTGTACGCTCCAGCCTTCTTCAGGTGGTAGGAATTTCGAACTGAACCCTTTATTTCAATCACTGGGGTAGACTGTTCTAGTCAGTTATCAGTTATCTCCTGCTAATTTTCCCTCTGAAAGTTCTCCACTGCCTTAACCAGGAATTGAACTCACCTTCTTTGGGTCTCTCACTGGATCTAACCAACCTTTATCCACTGTGCCATGTGTCCTTGAGGACATCTGGGTATGAACTTCTGAGTATTATAAACCTAATGTTTTCAGCATCATTTTTACCAGTGCTCATATTGCAATTTTTGTTGTTATCATTGCATGTCTTTACCAGAGTTCATATTGCAACTTTGTTATGTTATGGCACGTGGAACTAGAACAGTCTACCCCAGTGATCGAAATAAAGGGTTCAGTTCAAAATTCCTACCACCTGAAGAAAGCCGGAGCATACAACGGCCAAAACGTTGTGACAAATATGGCGACAAAGATGAGGACAATAGTCCGACTAATGTAAATACTGTACATAATACCTCATCTCAGAAATATAGACAGACCCTATTTTGTATTATTGGAAACAAGTTAGAGTTCTCATTTATTGATATGGCATTCATTTTCATCTTGTTTCCTTGTGAACATGTAAGTTTTTTTCCCAGTTTTTGATGCACACCTCCCAATAGAAATAAGAAATGCAGAAGAGGGAAATGGGGAATTCACTGGCCAGCCAGAGAAACAACCTTGTTGTACATAGGTAAAATATTTTTCACTTTGTTAAAAATAGACATCTTCTATTACAGTTACATCTTTATAAATAGATGTGCCGCTATTTAAAATTAACAGGGCATTTAATCAATAAACAAGAAAACAATACTTATCAACCTCAATGATCCCATCAAGCACCCGAGACAAAACTTGCTACAATGCATTTTTTTTTTTTTTTTTTTTTTTTTAAATAAGGTCTATATAATTTTCAAGGATAGAAATTTTTATGAACTAAGTAAAAAAGTATGGGATATATTTGTTAGTGCCCACCCAACAAGGAATGATGTTAAATATTAGTTTGATATGTCAGCTGCAAAAAACCTGTGGTGACTATAAGATATTCAGCCTGAATTCTTGGATGAATGGCAATACAAGAACCAAAAAGCTTCCAACGGAAATATCTTTAACAATAGTTTCTATAAATAGTAATTCAATTTTTTAATCTGTGAGAATCAAATATTAGGGTTGTGACTATGGCTTGGAAGAAAAAAGTCACAATTCTTAAATCAATTGGATTGACCTGCAGCTCAACTCACAGAATCTGTATTAAAAATTTAAACCCATGATTACCACACAAAATACAAATTAGGACATTTACTCATTTTCCCATTAACATTTCAGCCCAACTCAATAAGGCACAAGGGTTTACTGAGTGTTAGAAAATATGAGAAAAATTACTATTAAGAGAAAAAAAAACAATAAAAAAACAAGAATTAAGAAGACAGAAGATGACCATTGACAGTGCATTTAAATTTTTAAAGATCAAAATTAACTGGGAAGGAAGATGCCAGAAGAGAGTTCCACAAGAAAGAAGTGCAATAGAAAAAACTGTTAGCATAGAACTTAGTTACATCTAACCATTTCAACTGTAAAATGAGGAGACCGCGTCACCAATCTAGTATTGCGCTTAAATTCATAAAGTCTAGGTACTATAGCGAAAAGTTGATCAGAACAATTACTATGAAAGTATTTATAGAAAAGGCACAGGGAAGCTATGTTGGCATAAGAACTGGAGGTGAGATGCCAGGTCAGGACTAATAATATTGCAGATTCTTTAGATTTTATCAAGAATCTAAATATATAGCAGAAGCACCAGACCAGATGTGGCAGCAATATTCAAAGCCTGAACAAATGGTAAACTTGTAAATATGTAAGTTAGAGTCTGGCAAGAAAAATTGTCTAGCATGACACAGTGAACTAACATTCTTAGCTGAAGACTTAGCAATTAATTCAATATACACTTTCCACTTCATGTCAGCTGAAAACATTAATCCAAGGCATAATGAGTCATTCTCTTGGAAGTTAGCACCAGCCATGATAATGGAAGAGTTCTTTCAGATGATTAATAGAGATCAGTTTCATTATGGAGGCATTAAAATTAACAAGCCACTTCTTGCCCCATTTAACAGCAGATTGTAGGTCAGTCTTCATAAACACTGCCCATTTGACCTTATCAAACTGATCAGACTTACTATTAAGACAGGAGTAAAAATAATTGCGTCATCAGCATAGATTTCGAGTTGAGAACTTAGGACATCAGGAAGGTTATTTATGAAAATTAAAAACAATGTAGGTCCAAGGATAGAGCCCTGGGGAACTGCTGCATTTATACAAAGGTCTACAAGAGTGGCCATTCAAGATAACTTTAATTCCAGTTAAGTAATTTGCTAAATTAAATTTGACTTGAATATTAAATGGTTAGCAGGGAAAGTCTAAACAGAACAGTCAAAGCAAAATGAAAAAAAAAAAAATATAAAAAAAACAGCTCTTGTAAAACTGAATTTGAGGAGGGGGTGTCATCTTTTGCTTTACTTTCAGTTCAAGTTAAAAATATTAAAAACTACTAAAGAAAAAAAAATGATATGGTTATTGTTTTGAGAATTCAGGGGGAAAAATTCTAATTAATTCCCAGTCAAGCATTCCAAATGAGTCAAATTCTTGATACTATAATGGAGAAGAGATAATGAATTAGAATGGCGGTTTTTCTTTTATCAGAGGGGCACCAACTTGGTACTTAGCTTCAAAGACAACCTAACCAAAAAATAAACAAATATCAAGATAATTTTTTTCTGTTGACTGTACAGAATACAAGAATCTTTTCAACAAAAAGATGTTTGACATACCGACATCTACATGGGTGTAATAATTGTCTATTTCTTTTATATCCATTTTGTGTTGATTGTATTTATCTGTGCACTCATGTCACAACAGAATGTAACAAAGTCAGAGTTTAACTTAGGATTTGATGAAAACCATACAAAAATTGCTCAAGCCCACTTAGCTCCCCCCCTCCCAATATGTGTGTGTGTGTGTGTGTGTGTGTGTGTGTGTATGTGTGTGTGTGTGTGTGTCTCTTTATCAATAAATTCTTTTAAATTTATTTTTAGGTTCATTCTTAATTTCTTTTTAAGTTAAAACCTTGTGTTTTCTTCTCATATCCCCCCCCATTTGTCATCATAAGGTTGATATTCTGGGCTTTCTTTAATAAAACCTCTACCCTTTAAAATAGATCCTTACCATCCTCCTTAACCCCTGCCTCGGGCCTAGCTTCCAAATGAAACAGGAAAGTGAAAAACTCTGTATTAGGTGGTTTCAGCAAGTTATGGTTTAAGTTGACCCTTTAGCTTCCAATATTAATTCCTCACAGTTAACTCCTACTACCTCCTACTTCCTCTAACCATACAGATGTGAACTTTATTCTACACTGGGGTTGAAAAGACAGAGTCACTTTCATCATCTACTGAAATAGCCTATTCCCCACATGAAATAAAAGGATTTGTTTGATTATTATATTGCTCTGCATAAATATAACACAGAGCTCTTTTTTGTGGATCAGTTCTAATATTTTTATATTACTAGGATCCATTTGGATTATATACCAACAGATTTTTTACCATCCATATATATAAAAACTGTGTGTATGTGTGTGTATATATATATATATATATATATATATATATATTTATATATATGTATGTTTGTGTTTTACTACCTATCTGGACTGAGTCATGTTTCAGCTGAGAGAGTGCAGGAAAGGAATTTAGGATCACTTGGCCACAAATAGAATGATCTAAGAAAGTGAGTAACAATCAGTCACCTATGCTCACATGGCATACATCAAGTGGGATTTTGTTATTGTAATTTTAGTTTCCCCACTGATGACATCCAATGACAACAGTTTACAAGAAAAATAGACCCTCATCATGCAATCATGAGGGATGAGAAATACACCCACAAACCTATTCCATTGCTTGTGGAAAGAATAAGGAAATTTCATCCTAGATATCATGTATGTATTTGACTATTTTAATGGGTAAAGGATAAAGGAAAATCATAGCAAAACAAAACATCTTACTTTCATCTCAGATGCAATCCAATTAACCAATGGGAAACAGAACACAAACATTCGGAATTCCCTATTTCACATTGCAAAAGAAACAACCAAATTTTGTGAACATTCTACTTGTTAAAAACGATTAACAGGGAACTTTTTAATTGTTTTTTTTTTTTATTTAATTTTTCTTGTGTTCTTATAATTTTCTTCTTTTCTGGACATAAATTATGTAGAATATGTCCAAATGTTTTGAATGCTTTCGGCTATACTTTTAGCCATTATCAAGAATCATTTTATTTTTACTGAATGTATGGATACTTTTATGCATGTATCTAGAGTTATAGGAATGTTTTATTTTTCAAACATGGTTAACAGATAAGAACACAAGAAAAATTAAATAAAAACTTAACTGCTGTTCCCTGTTTGTTGTTTTTAACAAAACTAGTATAAAAGAGAGATTGCTACCCAAATACACAATATATATATATATATATATATATATATATATATATATATATATATATATTATACACAATATTCAATTAAAAAACATCAGATTGACAAATATTTGTCAAAAAAATGGTTATATGAATAAAAAGCACTCAGTGCATATTTTGATAACCCCAATTTAAGACAAAGTAAAAGCAGCAGGTGTATATATGAAAGTGTTTCAGAATGGAGGGGAGATGGAAAGTCTAACACACTGTCTGCCAGTACCAAAGGTGGTGAAACAATGGTAACAGGAAGGTTGGTTTTCAGTGTGTGTGTGTCTGTACCCACACACACAGTAAAGTGTTACCTGTCATTATGTGTTGAAATGTTGGGAATATATTTTTGGTATTATGGAGAATTCTATTTTGGTCATCAATAGTTTAGTAGCTCCATGGAAAGCTCATAAATTTCACCAAGTTTTCATTAGATATCTTTAAGAAAAGCCAACTCAACCACTTGACCTTCAGAGTTGACAGCTAACAGATATACATTGTAAACAGACATAATTCTTATCTATTTTAAGTAAAAGCTAAAATTTAAAAAAAAACAAAAACAATGACAATATTTTTTTGACTATAAATTTTTATGAGAAGACATCAATCATAGCATAAAATTAATTCTGCATGACAAAAATTCATATGTATAAACCTACTTTAAGTACACAAGAAATTCTTTTCTACAACAATGGTATTTTCTTAGAATTAGGCCAAAATTAAAACTAGGAATATATTTAAACTATTGGAATAAATTTTAAATTTTGATTTAAAAGAAAAACTTGAAGAGGAGTAGCTACTAAAAATATTAAAAACTTTACTAATGCATGATATACATATATATTCATCCTCTGCATGCAGAGATGACCTTGACTTCAAATCTCTACAGATGACTAATGAGTCCAAACTTTGCCCAGAAACTTCTGTTGCAGTTGTGACAAGGAATGCTTGGGGCTGAACCAGGTTGAGAGGCAGAGCCCTCTTGATCTTTCCTTTTCTAGTGTCTCCGTTATCTGTCCCTGATTCTTTTCTGATCAAAATCAGACACTCCAGACTTTACAAGGAAACGCCAGATGGCACGGTCCTCAACAGACTCTTCCCAAGTTGAATGGGGAATGCCACAGTGCTTGAGAGACATTTCCAGTGTGTCACATCTTTGGTCTGCCAAGTTAACACTTGCCTGGGGATAGCTCATCATAGAGCAATCTCTTTGGGAGGCAACAGTCCATGAGGTGGACATGGTCAGCCCACCAAAGCTGATAGTACAGTAGAATAACACAGATGCTCTCCATCCTAGAAAATACTGTCACTTTTAATGGTTAATTATTTAGTGAGTGGTACCAATTACAAAATACAACATTTCTTTAAATTTCAATGTATTTCTATCATAAAATTATATGAAAACTTTTCTATAGTAAAATCAGAAATAGTTGGGATGCAAAATGAGGAAATATAGCTTAGAGAATGTAACAGATTAGCACTGTGAATTGTCATACTTGCCACCAAAATCTGAAAGTGTATTAAGAAAAAGATGACTTCCAAAAGACAAGAAAAGCATTAAAAATTAAGGAAAATTTGATTAGAAAAAAAATAAAAATAAATATATATATATTGGACTATTATGTAATATCCAATGAAAATACTATGGACTGAACATGTGAGTAATGGGGAAGTTTTAAGGGAAATGGTCAAATAAAGGATGCTTACAATTAGAATCAAAAAGTAACAGTTGAAATATCAAATACAATGAGGAAAGAGGGCTTGGAGAATCTGACACTCACAGGACACTGAAGGCAAGAGGGACAGAAGGCAACCTACCGAATGAACTTGCATAAATGGATGGCAGAACAAGGTTGATTGATTTGTTTTCTATGTTTTATCAAGCTTTTGCAAGTTATTTAAAGCCAGAAAACATTTTTACATTGTAAGAAATTTTTTTCTAGATAATGATTTACTGATACAAGTCTTACTAATTAACCCATAGCTAGGGAGAGAAGAGGTGGATTCATACCTAATCAGAATTCCATAAACAAGAAATTACATGGATATAAAGTAGGGAATCCATTCTACATTACAATCAATATATAAACTGCTCACTCACTTTGTGGTCACTCTAGATTCTATACATTTATATTCCAGAAACTGTAAATAACTTTAAAAGACATACCTGTGTAGCAAATCAGTATATTGTTCGATTAATTGATTTCGCTGTTATGGGTTATCAACCCGTTGCAGGTTATTTACAGCATGAAAATATATTTTAGATTGTAAGAATTTTTTTCCAGATAATGATTTAGTGATACAAGTCTTACTAATTAACCCACAGCTGGGGGGAAGGTGGATTCATGCCTTTCCCAAGGCTATTTGCATGTAAGTGACTATAACAAATCCAAATGGCATTGGAACTCAGCTCTCTGATTAAAAATTCAGAAGCTATTATCCATTACACTACCTGCACATCCAAGCTTACAGTACCTGGTATTCCCAAGTGGTCACCCATCTAGATACTGACCAGACTCGATGTTGTTTAACTTTGGTGATCATATGAGAACTGGAGTTTCAATGTGATATGGTCATAAGCCAAACAGAACAGGGAATGGGAGGGATACTAAATAGACTAAACTTACTGAGATACAAAGAAAGGAAGTTGTGGAGGAGCATAGTCATCTACATCCTGAAAGGAGACGGCATATAAAAAAAAAAAGGAGAAACAAAAAATATTTATGGTATGGCAACTATTCTTTTATCATTAATAATTTTGCAAGCAAGCTCCGATATACAGTCAGACACAAGCTGAATTTAAATTTGGAAAAAAGAAAAATTTGTTTACTGTTACAAAATAACAAATATAGTTTGACTATTATTGACCAACATATCAATCTTGTGAGCCACCCACTGCCAAACACCAAAAAAAAAGGAGGGGAAAAAATAGTTTCCAGCTAGCAGCCTATTGCAGAACCATGTATCATATTTCATTGCAATAGTCCCAACATTGGCCTTAAAAAGCGTTTGGCATGGAACATCTATCATCCTGTTGGAGATAAAGATTCTATAAAGAAGGAGAAAAAAAAAGACAACTACAGACTCCATGACTTTTGTTTTAATAGATTACAGCATTTACCTGTGAAATATGAAAGGTAAACACCAGTTCAAAAGTATGTATCATAAATAGATGATTATTACACTGAAATACAACTTGGGGAAATAATTCTTCAAGTCTCTCCACTCAACTAAACCAAAACAATGGCATGTCTAAATATTAGCATCAGACATTTTGATTCTTATTTGATTTCTAGGTTTTCCTTAAAGTCTTGCTTCCTATTCCATCTATTGTAGATGCTCATGAATGCCTATATAATTGTTGAAGAGCACACGACATAGATACCATTCTATGAACAGATTTCAAAATAAACGTAATAAATCAACCAGGATTTCAAGTGTTATGATTTTATTAATCAGCCGAGAAGTGAACGTAACTGAAATCATCTACAATATTTATTTACTTAAAAAAAAAAAAACAAATAAATAAAATACGCAAGTTATAAATAATTGGAGCCTATTTACACTGTTCATGTTTTGGTACACACAAATTACCCAGGAAGTTGTGTAGAGAATTAGATCAGTTATTGAATTTAATAAAAAATAAAAAAAATAAAAAAAAACAAAAAAATTTAAAAATAAAAAATTTAAAAACGTAAACGCTATCCCATTAATATTAAACATCTATATTATACATAATTTAAGTATATCTGAACAAATTCAAAATATTCTATTATAGAATTATTTTTGGAAAATCTTGCATCTTAAAAACAGGATTTTTTTTTTTTTTTAAAAAGGAAAAAAATACTGTCTGTATATTCATGAAAATTGAATAGATGGATAAAAATAATGCATGAAATTCCAAGTAGAGATTCATATAAATCTGTATTATCATCATTATAATTATTATTGGTGTTGTTATTACTATTTACATTCAGGGGCGGGCGGGGTACTACTGACACCATCTTTGTTATCACATTTCACCTGTTGTGCCCACCAGCCTTTATCAGGTGGGTATCAATCCTGGTAACCAACAAGGAATTTCTGATCAAACACAAAGAAGACAATAGTCCCCACCCCCAAATGTAAATAATGAGAACTTGTCCCAGGAATTCAGGCAAAAATTACTACTGTTGTTGCTGATAATAAAACTAGGCAAGACTTTATTTCTATCAAAATGCTTACAATTAAGTTTTTTAACAACTTTTTCTTAGAATAAACAATGATTTTAGGCAAAGTGATTTTAACACCTGCTCATTGTCAGGGAACAAGTTTTGAAATTTCTTGAACTGATCAAGACATGTTCAGTCGTTTGGTTTTCATAAGTGGAAACTATTCAGCATTTCCCTTGTAAATTTTAAAAAGAAAAAAGAAAAAAAGAAAAAAAAAGAAAAAAAAAAAAAAAAAAAAAAAAAAAAAGGAAGAAGAAAAAGAAAAAAAAAAAAAAAAAAAAAAAAAAAAAAAAAAAAAAAAAAAAAAAAAAAAAAAAAAAAAAAAAAAAGAAAAAGAAAATAAAAAAAAAAAAAAAGAAAAAAAAAAAAAAAAAAAAAAAAAAAAAAAAAAAAAAAAGAAAAAAAATAAAAGAAGAAAAAAAAAAGAAAAAGAAGAAAATAAAAGAAGAAAAAAAAAGAAGAAGAAAATAAAAGAAGAAATAAAAGAAGAAAAATAAAAGAAGAAAATAAAAGAAGAAAATAAAAGAAGAAAATAAAAGAAGAAAATAAAAGAAGAAAAAAAAGAAGAAAATAAAAAAGAAAAAAAAGAAAAAAAAGAAAAAAAAAAGAAGAAAATAAAAGAAGAAAATAAAAGAAGAAAATAAAAAGAAGAAAATAAAAAGAAGAAAATAAAAGAAGAAAATAAAAGAAGAAAAATAAAAGAAGAAAATAAAAGAAGAAAATAAAAGAAGAAAATAAAAGAAGAAAAATAAAAGAAGAAAATAAAAGAAGAAAATAAAAGAAGAAAATAAAAGAAGAAAATAAAAGAAGAAAATAAAAGAAGAAAATAAAAGAAGAAAATAAAAGAAGAAAATAAAAGAAGAAAATAAAAGAAGAAAATAAAAGAAGAAAATAAAAGAAGAAAATAAAAGAAGAAAATAAAAGAAGAAAATAAAAAGAAGAAAAATAAAAAGAAGAAAATAAAAGAAGAAAATAAAAGAAGAAAATAAAAAAAAAAGAAAATAAAAGAAGAAAATAAAAAAGAAAATAAAAGAAAAAATAAAAGAAGAAAAAATAAAAGAAGAAAATAAAAGAAGAAAATAAAAAATAAAAATAAAAGAAGAAAATAAAAGAAAAAAAAAAAAGAAGAAAAAAAAAAGAAGAAAATAAAAGAAGAAAATAAAAGAAGAAAATAAAAGAAGAAAATAAAAGAAGAAAATAAAAGAAGAAAATAAAAGAAGAAAATAAAAGAAGAAAATAAAAGAAGAAAATAAAAGAAAAAAAGAGAAAATAAAAGAAAAAAGAGAAAATAAAAGAAAAAAAAAAGAGAAAAAGAAAAAAAGAGAAAAAGAAAAAAAGAGAAAAAGAAAAGAAAAAAAAAAAAGAAAAAAGTGCATCATTTTTCAAAAACCCATTACAAAATTATTTCAGAGAAAGACATTTAAGTTTACTTGAAACCTGTTCACTTTTTTTTTTTTTTTTTTCTCTCCACTCACAGTAACTCCTTGTATCTTAGTGGCTTCAATGTCTTACTTTGGGTGAAATGATAAACATTTTGATCCCTGGTTAAATTTTAAGTCTTTTATACGTGGTTGCATTTATTATTTCATGGTGGTTATGATTTTTTTTTTTTTTTTTAATTAGAAAAGCAAAAAAATTTATTTAGTAATAAATGTATGTACAGTATCTCCCAAATTAGACAAACAGTTGATAAGGAAAAAAGGAAACATTCTTCATTATTACATGGTAATTGCAAAATGGAAAGATTGGCTGATTTTGTTTAGCAACATATACGCCTATGTGTTATTTCATGCCAAAATCTAAATATCTTGAACACAATTTTATGCCCTTATTTAAATATATTTTGAATGCAATTGTATGCCTTCAACTCCAGATAAAATATATTGCTGGTCATTTTACTATAAATAGGTATTGTTGGTAATTTTTTTATATAAAAACGTATTGCTGAGTGTTATTAGGAGGTTCACCATTTGCCCATAGCTGGGACCCTAACAGGTGCTACCACCCTGAGTCAGAATGAATACGAGAACAGCAGCAATTAAGAGGAGAGTTTAATGCATCTCAAAACCTTCAATCTACCTAATAAGAGGCCTTGCAGCTGAATGCAGTTTGTCATACCCAGAACTAAAATGGAAAGAAGATAAAGCATTATGATCAGGAAATGGAGGAGGGGGAGAGAAAGAATAAATATTCTAAGATAAAATGGTAAAAACTAAAGAAAGAAAAAATTGTGAATAGAAACCCAGCCTAATGTTTCAGAGCTTTGATAAATAAGGTGTCAAGTGAAAAAATGCAGTAAGGTAAATATCATTTGACAAACTACAAATCAAGTAAGAAGCTGTGCACCTTAACAGAATTGTCAATATCATAAATAACAGACAGAAATCTACATAGTCACAGACATTACGTACTCATATTTTACAAGCATTAAACTGGATAAAAAAAAATAAATTTATATATATATATTTTAGCACATCATAATACAGTAGCCGATTTATTTTCACACATTAATTAAAAGATTGGTTTTATTTTCATTTTTGCTTTAGTGATGGTGGTGGAAGTGTTCTTCCTCCCCATTAATCATAATTCTTTTTTTGGCACCTAGTGGTATGATTAATATTCCAAACATGGTCCAAGACCCAAAATAACAAGAGAATTTCTTAAATTATCCATTATTTTTGTACATCATAAAAATCTAAGCTCTGATGGGGGTTACCATGCACTTGAACACCTCGCATGAAACTGGCAGTTGGGGCGAGTTAATTTTTATATATATATATATATATATATATATATATGTATGTGTATGTCCTAATTTAAGTTAACATGTTTCTTTTTCTTTAAATTTTGAAAAAGTTTTGCCAATATAAGTTGTGGCGTATTATTTGTACATTTTATATCTGTGTCGGGGTGTTGATGGAATCAGTTTCTTTTTGGAAACACAAAAATATATGTCATACATGCATGCCCTAAGTTTGGGCTACAAAATTCCATGGAAAAAAAAAATCTTTTATGTATATGCACTGACTTCTTTATAATAAATGTGAATATCAGTGTGTCACCATGTCACACTTTATTAACTTTACTCAAAGATGCTGTAGCCCAACATATACCATTTTGGAATCAGGCAGACTCTAAATTAAAAACATTCCAGACCGGATCTAGAAATTATTTAAAAATTTAAAAAAAAATTTTTTTGGCAATTTTTGTACGTGATTTTTTGTAATAAATATTTTTCCTATGATAACAATTTTTATAATTTGGGAATAAACAAAATTAATTATTAAATCCAGCAAAAGACACCATGAAATAAAAATAATTGTTTGTATGGAAAGTAAGGACCTAAGTACATCAAACTGTCTTTAAA